AGCGTGGGTGCTTGCTCCACAGGAGCGATTGGGCAGGGCCCAAGGAGTCTTGTTCCGAGATTTTAAAATTGTGGTGAAGAAAATGCCTTGCAGAGGAGCGGAAGCGGCTAAAATGCAGTATAAAACCCCACTGAAGGGAGATAATTTTTGAAGCTTTTCTTGGAGCAATAGTGCCATGAAGCTGTGTTAAAATGACAGAGGTTTTGCAATAACAAACACTCTGTCGTTAAAGGCATTAAAATGGGGGGGATGGAAAATGGAAACAACCTGTCTGTAGGGGGGGCCCTCAGCTATCTTCTGTCTGAAAGCGAAGCTACTGAACCATCAGAGAAAGAAACAGGAGGGGAATATTCAGCCCTGTTTGGCGAGAGATGCTTGATACCTGCTCTGATCCGTACCCAGATGTTTCCAACTGCCAAAGGGAAAGTAGCTGGAGCAACTGCCCAGTGCTTGCAAACACTCTAAAAAAGAAGGATTTCGAAGAAATGGGAGAGATGCGATTTTCTTTAGAGGCTGTTGCTGATGCTGCTGTCAGGGGCTGCTGGGGAACGCAAGCGGTGACTAAGGCGGCAGAACCCATTCTGCAGGCAAAGGGGGTTAGCAGCGGGTGGGGGGGAGCACATCTGCTGGCAGCATGGCAGGGATCAAAGTAAAAGCACAGGCTTTGTCGCTCCAAAGGGATGGGGTGCGCAGCTCCAGCCTCATGGGGGGTCTGCTCCGTACCCCAGCGCCCATTTCCCAGGGCTTGTCCACGTGTCCTCTTCTAGCAGCAGCTGGGATGGGGTTCCCATCCCCTGCCTGCTCCCCCGCAGCTGCCTGCTGGTGTGCTGCCAGACCTTCGCGAAGCCCTCAGAGCTGGCAGCCACGTCGCTGGCGGGAGCACGCCCTGGACGTGTGCTGTCAGAACGAGCTGGGCTGCCAGGAACCCTGCTTTTTAAGCACTGAAACCTACCCCAGCTCATTACGGTTGGATTGGGTGAGGAAGCACTGTCCCAAGCAGCTCAAGGGGCAGACGGGGGCACTAACTTCTGCCAAGGGCTGATGATCATAGAATCATAGAATCATAGAATCGTTTAGGTTGGAAAAGACCTTTAAGATCATCCAGTCCACTCATTAACCTACACTACCAAGTCCGCACTAAACCAATCAAGGGTAGACTAGACTAAACCATGTCCCAAAGTGCTACATCTACCCATTTTTTGAATGCTTCCAGGGATGGTGACTCCACCACCTCTCTGGGCAGCCTATTCCAATGCTTGACTACCCTTTCCGTGAAGAAATTTTTCCTAATTTCCAGCTTAAACCTCCCCTGGCGCAGCTTGAGCCCATTTCCTCTCATCCTATCACTAACTACATGGGAGAAGAGACCAACACCCACCTCACTACAACCTCCTTTCATGATGTACCGGAGGAGCAGCTGGGAATCAGTAAGGTCCATCCCAGCTGCAGCCATAGAGTGTGAAAAGTCTCCGATGGGCAGGCTACCGCCCCTGAGAATTGTTCAAGTGGGAAAAGTAGTCAGGAGTGGAAAGGAGAGGGAAAAAGCGGCTGAGTGACCCCAAAAAGGGAGACCGCTATTGCTGCCCCTGGCCTCTGGTTGTGAGTCCTCTCCTGGTGTTTAATACCTGCGGAAGAGAATGAGAGTAAAACTCTCCCACTCTACCCTGTAGCTGAGGAGACAGAGCAGACACTTGATGGAGCTCAAGTCGAATTTCTGTCAGATCTTTTGCTGATGCAGACCTCGGCTGCAGAGGCTGTGGTGAAGCTTTGCCTCGGCGTCTCCTCTTGGAACTGCTCTGATTTGTGCAGATGCCGGCTTTTGGGGCTTGGACTGCTGACATGGTACTGTACCGCTATGGGTAGCCGCTCCGAGCTAGCAGCTTTGCAGACAGCTGTACCTGGCTGTTGGGCAGGGGTTTCTGCACCATGCTCCGAAGCTGGTGCTGACCCCCTGCTCCCCGTGGTGATCCACGGGCTGGGCAGGCTGCGATGTGGCAGCCCTCCACAGAGCCCACGTTTCTGGCTGCGTCCTCGGAGCGGGCCAAGGGCTCACGGCCACCAGGTAAAGCAAGCGGGGATGCGCTTCAGGGGTGGCAGCTGCTACCGAGCCGAGACGGTCCCAGCACGGTGGGGAACGGCCGTCGCGGCGAAAGCGGGGCCGTCGGTACCTGCTTGCGCGCTCAGGTCGCACGGCACCTTTTGGAGCCGACTCTGCATCAGTCTGTGCGCTCACCAGGCAGGCGATGATGGTACGTCAGCGTCCACCTGAACGCTGAGGAGTGCACCCCTGTGCCACACACACGGGAGGGTGATTCTATCGACTAAAGGTCTTTTTAAAATGCCTCCTGCTTGTTTCATCCCAATTTAACCACAGATTACATAATCTCTTAACCATATCTAGTACTTAATGGTTGCTGTCCATAACGTAACACTAAAAAAAGAACCAGAATTATGTCTCTTTGTCATTTTTGTTTCTTCAGTACTCGTTCTCTTCCATTTAGCTATTTATTTTTGGTCTGTCCATGATGGCTGCGTCATTGTTACTACATCTTTTGATAAAAACCCCCAGTGACCCATTTTGCACCTCCCTAGTCTTCTGCTCCGGTTCTCCCGCCGTGTACCTTTTGTTTCTTCTTTCTACGCTTTTGATTTTGTTCTTTTGTTCCCCATGTTGCAGTAGGAGAGGTAGGTCATTTTTAACTGTCCCAGATTATGGTTCAAGAAAGGCGTGAAGTTTCACAAAGGTTTCTCTTCACTTACATTGAACATTACTGACACATTATTTCTGTGGCGGACTTCGAACCTTTGATTTTAAGCAGCTGCTGTAAATGTACAGAAGTAAACAACAGAATCTATAAACAGTTCAATACAGAAGGCTTGATTTAATACCTTACAAGACAAAGCAATCAATAATCTATTACGCATCTAATCACTGGCACGAATAGCCCAGCAGCCCTCTCTCTGCACAGCGTTCCACCAAATGAGAAGGGCAGTTGGAGACCACAGGAAGAGGGACACAAATCACCGAGATCGCAAATGCATCGCTTGGAGTACATCTATAAGTGCAAATATTCAAATTCAACAATCTACCTCTTGCTACTAGTGAATCACGCTATTGCTATCTGGAGACTAGTTGCTATGGCAGAAAGCTGTAGCGATGGCAGAAGGCCAAGAATTCCGCCTTTGAAATGTTAACTGAATTTAACTCTTGACTTTTCTCAGACAAGGTTCATTATTTTGTGGGACTGTGTCATATTAAACGAGTACTTTGTCTGCCCTGGGTACTGGTTTGGAAGGGATATTATTAATCACTGGGACAGTGAGGCAGGTCGATAACAACCATTTGTCAATAAGGATTTTTTTTATACCTTCAAGTCCAACATGTGATAGCTGCAGTCATGTCAGGGCCTTTTTTCTTTAATTTTTTTTTATTTGGTGGGGGATTTTTGGGTTTTTTTTTTTTTTGGTTTTTTTCCTAACTCATCTCCTTGCTTTAGGCAAGTTATCCCCAGTTCACAGCACCTGGAGGCACTCAGGGCACGCCTACAGTGCAGGCGCGATGGTGCGATGAGGAGATCTTGTACTTTTGAGTGGTTAGAGCCGGGGCACGGACATGCTGCTGCTCCGTTTCAGTGACAATGTAGGCTGCTGTCTGTAATATCCACCTGGACAATCAGGAATTTAGAGACTTCAGCAAGGAACAGGTATAACCATCAGTTGAAAAGTAATTTTGTGAATGGCAGAACTACCTACCGATGGAATTTAGGCACAAGCTCTTCTTTCAGCTGCCTGAAGTGTAGATCTGGCTCCCTGCTTACAGGTTAGCTGCAGGTATCTTTTGCTTGAAGAAATCAATCCTTTTCAGCTGTGTAAATGAGATCCCTCACATCTAGTTATTGGGCCAGATTTGGCAACTCAGGATTACTGAGATTCAAGGAAACACCTAGATTAAACATTATCAATTATTCATGCAACGGTGCTTCTGGCATCTTTCCTGTAACACTTAATGAGGAGCTATTAGGAAGGACACGCACGTTGAAAGTTAACTGAGAATGGCAGAATGAGCCAGATGGTGTTATTGTGAAGACAACTATCAAAGAGAATAGCATACAGAGAAGAACTGCATCCATAGTCATAAAGATGCAGATTCACAAATTCTGGCAGTGATTTTGCTCCCACAAACACAACAAAGACACTACTGTTGCAGTGGGAAAAGTCTTGAATATAGGAGGCCATGTACAGAATTACAGTGGAGGCTGAGATGGTGACAGTGAAGTTGGAAGGGTTGCTGTACGGTATTCCTCCACCAGTCTGTACCTCCGGAGTTTTGCCCAGTCCCAAGAGCAGGTTAATAACCACATGCCTCTCTAAATTGTTCTGTAGACTGCGGAACATTTCAGGTTCCACCTTCAGAAATCTCATTCTTTCAACACTTGTTTTCCTCTATTATACAATTCCATCTTCTGGGAACGAGTTCGCAAGGTAGAGTGCTCTTGCGCTCTCTCACGCTTCCCTTCTCAATAGGCTTTTGACTACGTGCTCAGACCTGAAGGAGTTATTCCAGAGAAGGGAAACACAAAAGCCCTGCGCAACATGCAGTACACTGCTAGGTAGCACTTAAAAAAAAAGACTTTGCAATATCACTCATGTTCTTTGTCATCTTTCATTAACCATGATTTTGACTGCTGCATCTCCTCTTCTCAAGATACATTGATGGTAAAGTTTTAAAAAACCCACAACCCTAAATAGTGTAAGCCACAAGCTCCCAATTTTTTTTAATTTTTTTTTTTTTAACCTAATGGATCAACAGTAATATTTCAGCTTTTTTTTGTAGATACGCATATAGATATCATTTGATGATACATGTTTTCTTGTTTAATATGGGTCCTTAGATCAAGTGCAGAATATTTATTTTGTAGACCAGATTAAATCTTTGAAATCCAAGGATCCCTCAGGTATACAAGTGAAAAGCAGGCTTCACTGAAAAAGCAACAACCAGGAACATTTAAAATGAACCATTTATTAAATCAAACTGTTATTTTAACAGTTACATAAGTTACACAGCATGTTTAAGTCAAAAGATTTCACAAGGAAAAAAATTTTAAACTTTTATTATGCAGGCAAAAATAGTACCACACAATATGTACCTGGGAGGGAAGAAGGGAAGAGGAATCTCTAAACATTCAAATAAGGCCATAATTATTTAAAAACAACAATAAAACAATAATAAACCCCCCCAAAGATCCATTTTCCTTTCAGTGTGTTCAGTGCTGCTAACTATATGTACTTTTAGTGTACAGATGTAAATCGAGGCAGTGATATCTTGATAGCTAGGTTTAATGTTTTAAAACACTATCAGAAGTGGAGTAAGGCTCATTAGTACATACAGCTGCCCTTGGAATGTCAATCTCAGTTGCCTTCATTAACTTAAAATTCACAAAGTGCACAGTTAAGATATGCCAAAAAATTGAAACTGCTACTCTACCAACAGCTGCCCATGCTTAATACTTAGTGGTCTATTGGAACAAAGTATGTTCTTTCAAAAAAGATGTGTAAGAAAAGCCACTGTAAAACATTTAGTTTCAAAGATGCACTAGGAGCTTTTTGTAAACTGAAAACTAGAAAAACATGGATTAATTATGTAAAGAAAAGAATACAAAAAACACTAGAAATGACCATCAAACTTTCAAAGAACAAGCACCACAATGGACATTAGCATTCAATTTTGCAGTGTACAGCAATGTTATAATTTTATTCTAACCAATCCACTTCATCAAATTCTGAATCATCTTCTGAATCACTGTATTCCACAGCAATGCGACGAGAAAGTATAGTAGCAACATCATTCTCAATGCGCTCATGCTTAGCTTCTTGTTCACGTTGCTCTTCAACTTTGCGTAGCTGAATACCTAAAGAACATCAAATCACAGAAGTGTTACTCTCCTCTATCATTATACAAAATATTTAGCTCATTATTCACAAAAGGCTTTGCAAGCAAAAACGAAGGCTGAGGACATCGCCCTCCTCAGGTAGAAGTTCTCTGACAAGTCTCTGAAGAGAGGAATGTCAGAATTGCAATGGCAGACTAGATCATGAGCCCTTCTACTGTAATATCCCGCTTCTGATTTCCCATTAAAAACGCACCCACATTTTTAGTACCACTGTAAGTGATTAAGCCATTTTACTATTTGCATTTCCAAACAATTTTTATACTCTCTCTTCATGGTCTCAATTAAAAGTTATAGCTATTTGAGTATCCTAACAAGACAGGATTTCTTGTAACTCAGTTTTCGTCATGTAACAATCTGTTTTGGGATAAAGTATTACTTAAAGATCAAATACAAAGGAGAAATAACACATGCCAATAGTATGAGAAAGTTAAATCCAGTAACTTAGTTAAAAACATGACAGAGATTATATATTTGGGTTTTATACTCAAGACACCACAGACTGACAGAGTCTAAACACGACCTACATCCTGTACTTAATACTCTCTGTTGTCAACTGACAGGCAACACAAGCACAGGCACTTAGTGGAATTTAAGCTATGGTAACTTGGGCCTTTGTTTCTTGTGCAAGACTTGGCCAGAAGAGTTCTCAGGAATCACCTAAATTATACCAGCAGGCTCTCCTTTATTTTTTGCTGACATTCTCTACTAATGTTCATGCACCACTGTTGTACTCAACTGCTGTTGATACTTCTTTAGAGTCAATGATGTTATCAATTCATGTGCATAGATGCTTTAAAAATATTTTGAGTTAGTATTATAGCCTGTCTACTGATAAAGTACCATACGGATTCTGCACTGTGTTGTAGGTCCAGGGGAAAACCAGAAGAATGTAGTACTCGAAACGTTTGAGCAAGATTAACTATTCAAAGATACCACACAGTCAAACAGCAGCACTCTCAGTGCAGTGGGGATTTTCCTGGCCATGGGCACATAAGCTGAAAGGTACAGCTTGTACACACAGCTCCTCACTAGATCATCAGGAGAACATTGCCCTGCACCTCTGCCATTCACTCGCACTCTGCCAGCGGGGCGCCTTGCAATGTAAAGACTGCTCTGCTACTGTGTTGAGACATGTCAAGATTAGATACTTAACAGCTTTAAGTCTTAAGCAACGATTTTTGAATGTCATTTATATGTTGTTGTAATACACTGATACATGATCAAAATACCAGTGTCAATTGATCTGTTCTGCTCTTATCTAACAGTCTGTGAAAAATAATGGTTTTGTCTTCTACACAATCTGTAGGTTATCAGAAATAGCTACATTTTCAGGTAAACAGAAATGAAGAGATAATCTCCACAGATCATCTATAAAACACATGTAATTTTTTTTCAAATCTAACTTCCACAGAGAACCAGTTTTGCCATCCAAACTAAACATCTGATAAGTGCAATTCCAAATTGAAAAAAAAAATCTGTCTACTTGGCAATGCATACGCTGTAGAGAATAGAAAGCAGAAACAGACTTAAGATGCATTCCTCTAAACTAAAATTCTAACACATGTGGAATATTCCACCTCTCAAAGCTAGTGTATATTTAGCAAGTTTCCAAGACCGTTCTTTTTGCCCCTTAATAGGTAAACATTACCTTTCCGTATTGCTTCCAGCAGAACGCTTCTAGCATCACTGATTACAGGAAGAGTTGAAGGATGGCGTTTGGGTTCAGGAGCAGGAATCACTTGGGATGGTGGAGATGGAGGCATTAGGGGGGCATGAGGGCCAGGGACAATGGTTGTGGGAGTCGGGTGCAGAACAGGAGGAGGGTGAGAAAGGGCTGCAACTGTGACAGGAGAGGAGGGTCGAATGCCAGGAGGAGGCAAGGGAGGAGGTGGGGGTGGTGGAGGAAGTCCCTGTACTTCAGCTTGAGGAGGAACGGGGTGAACGGGTACAGCTTCACACACTTGGGCAGCTCTAGTGACAGGAGGAGAGGGTTGCGCTAGAGGAGGAGCAATTGGAGGTGGAGCTGGATGTAGGACTCCAGGAGCTATCTGGAGAGGAGCTGGTGGAGGTGGCACAGCCGGGGCCTGCAGAGCAGCTGT